AAATTATCTTAGGAATTGCAGAGGAAAGATAGGAAGATTGGCCATGAAAGTTGAATTTAACCAGCAGTAGGAGGTATATCAAGATGATTGAACTGACACATAGACTTTTACAATTTTCACCCATAAGTTTCTTTTGGGACATACAGCACAGGAAGTGAAGCAAAAAAGAGGCTTTAGCAAGAGGTAACTTGCATTTGATGTTATGTTTTGCTGATTACCCATCATATCCACTTTGTGGCGTGTTTCTGTTGCCTTTGATGGTCTATTAGCCTTTCATTCATGCCATGACAATCTAGAATTTTTGATTTTTTGTTCTGTAGATTGGCCACCATTTGCCCCTATCGCTCATAATGATATACTTATTTATCTAGAAAAGTTGACGTACATTGCCTTTTCATCACTCTTAGGTATGCAAGCTTTTTCATTTTTAATTTTCCATTTTAAGCCTTTCATTTGCAGTAGATTATATTTATTGAGTATACATGATGTTATACATGATGTTACAGTTATCAATGTCTCTATTGATATATGTTATGTATGGTAAATGTATATTTTTTCCTTATGTAGGTTTGGTTCTGTGCTTTTTTTGGAATGTCATAGCTGCTACTACAACATACAGCAAAGGGAAACGATGGAAGCCAGGTGATGCCTATCCAATCCAAGAAGCATCATACTGGAGAATTGGATCTAGTCTTGCCATCATGGAGATAGTTTGCAACATCTTACAAGAACTAAAGATCAACCACCATAATTTTGAACGTTACACAATTGTCAGACGATCAGGAAGATGCTCATTTCTGTTCATGGTGAACAGAAGGGCAAACTTTTGACAGAGAACAGAGATCTTATCTTGAAAATTTTGGTCATTGTGTTCATTGGTGTTTACTTACTGGGACTAGCTGATACATGGAATGATATTTTGTATGCATATTTGTTGAACGGTTGTGAAAATCTTTGTGATCTGAACCTCCTTTTTGGAAATTAAGAAGGTAAAATCAAGGTATTGATAAAACAAAGAATGAGTCTTCATTTCCAAATTAGTTTGCTGCTAAGCAATTTCCTAATTAACTAACGATCTTCTGATGAGTTAAAAATTATTAGGCTTGCAACCATCTAATTCTGCCGCTCCTTATAATTTACTTGGCCTAGTTAATTTGGTTAATTTGTGTCCAACTTACTTCAATTTTTTCTTCGAAAACCTAAAGGTACATTACCTTCAATCTTGATTTTTTTTAATTAATATCAAAGTTTTCTTGTAGATACATGACCTTCCTAGTAAAAATGCATTCATTCTTTGCTAGATTTATTTATTTTTGGTGCTTGAAGTTCAAGTACATATATAGAAGAACATATCTCCAAGTCATGATATATATGTGGACGAGTGGTGACTCCCTTTTTCTTATATATTTCACACTTAATTTTTCATTTATTTTGAAAAAAATCTTAAGTGTTCGTCAACACTCAAGTTGCGTTTAATATTCTTCTCCTGCTCTTTACACCTTCACTTTCTCCAGCTAAAGGACAAAGCGTCAACAACTGCAAATGTAGCACCCACAATAAAGATATATATGTATGCTTTTGCGCTTTTCTTTGCGGACAAAAGAAGCAAAGAACACATAATAGTATTACAGTCTCTCTTTATATCCTGCGTGCTTTCCTAGATGATATTAACGCTGCCAGCATTTTTTTCTTAATTCATTCTTCTGCTTCTGCCAATTGATGAGTTTTCTTTGATGCTATATATACATAGCGCTGATTTTTTGCTCTTTTTGTTAAAATAATCTCCTTATACTTGAATCAAGGCAGTTTACCTTGTCAATTTTAATATATGATTTTCTTACATTTGGTTTCATCATTTTAGAAGAAATTCAGGTTTAAATACATATGATTGTGCTTGTTGGAGTTGTGTTTAGAAAAATAGGTAATTAAAATTATTAAAAAAGTAAATGCAACAAAATTCTTATAATTTTTATTTTTTTTATATGTCAAATGATAAATTATATAATAAAAGATAAATTTTATTTTTAAATCCTTCTCTTTCTTTTGTAGGATTGAAACTTAAAATTTTTAATATGAAACTCAAGTTTTTAATTATTAAAATGTTTTGTTTGTACTTTCATTGCCTTCTTATTTAGACTAGAAGTTGGAACTCGATCGAGAAAAACTTCGACCTCACTTGGTAAATTCGAACAAGAATTTACACTCTAAACTTGAGTACCCTGTAATTTAAGGACTGATTTTTCTTTTGTCTATATATAAATTTTTTTTATTTGTAATAATTGTATGCTGCCAGAAATTTCGTTGGAGTGAGCAAACTGTAGGGTCAAAATCTGTAATAATTTTTTAATATTGAATGTATAATAAAGTATGGTTATATGGGAGAGCAGGGCTCTAGTAGGCTTATTCCCTAAACAAGAAATGTTAAGGACCTAGATGTAGGCATATTCATATTAAGATCTCTCTCTCTC